TCTTTTCTTCCATTTGAAGCCCGTTCTGATCACTAATTGACCGGCTAATCTGTGCTTCGCTGTCGAAGTATATTCTCCTGGATCCCAGAGCTGCGACAGATTTCGATGGTCCGAGCTTGACATTCCGGTTAGATATTGTGTGTGCTGGTTATATTTTAAGTCGTCGCAAGCGACCTGTGAGTTGTGCACACTACCTTTGACGTGGTTGAATTATCACGCCACATTTCCGCGCAGAACAGAGCACTGGAAGATCCGTTGAATCGGAAAGGTGAGTTTGGATTTTCGAGTCCTTCACTTGGTCGGTGGCTTCTTTGAGCGACCCGAATGTGACCCAAGTTGCTTTCCTTCTTCTATCTAATTCCTCCTTCATGCTGTTTCTATGTTCATTGATCGCCCAAGGTAAACGTACGAGGTGGTCTCTGTAATGTAAGAGCACCCAACTCAATTTTTTCGCCTTCGCACCATGGGGTTTTTCGTGAACTGGGTCTTCTTTCGGTTTATGCGCAGTCCGATCTTTCCCTCGCTTCGTTGAGCACGTTGATCATTACCTCTGATTCGCTAGCACTTCTTGAGAAGATGATAATGTCGTCGGCAAAACGAAGGTTTGATAGGAATTTTCGATCAATACGTACGCTTTTCTCATACCAGTCGAGTGACATCATTATCCACTGCAGTGCGGCACTGAACAGTTTTGGCGATATTGTGTCGCCCTGTTGATTCCCTTTTCCTATGGGTATGGTAAGAGGTCGATGGAAAAGCTGTATTTTCGTAGTGCAGCTCCGATAGCAGTCGGACAGAGTTTTTATGTAGGACGGGTCCACTCCTTGTTCGACGAGCGCTGATAGGATTGCATTCATTTCGACACTGTCAAACGCTTTTGCATGGTCGAAAAAGGTTAGTACTAAGGGCAGGTTGTATTCTCAACAAACATTAATGATCCTTTACACAGCTTTGATGTGATCTACACAACAAAATCCTTTTCGAAAGTCTGCTTGCTCCGCTGGTTGCTCCTCATCTAATGTCCTTGGTATGCGCGAAAGGAAAACCTTCGTGAAGAGCTTGTAGAGTACACTCAACAAATATATCGAGCAATAGTTACGAAAATCCATTCAGTCACCTTTCTTAGGCAAGATGAACTAGCTAGACGTCCTCCACTGGCCTGGGATATTTTCCTTTTGAAAACAGCATGTCATATGATCTGCGAAAAGTACATGTAAACTGTGGCTTCCAGCTCTAAGGAAGGCGGAAGTGATATCGTCGTGTCTTGGAGCTGTGCATGTTCTCATGCTTTCTATCGCAGCTCGATCCTCCGACGAAAGAATTTTAGGTAGTTTTTCTCCATGGGGCATTTTAGGGCCCGCGACGGAGATCATGGAACGGAAAAGGTTGGTGTTCAACGTTGGCGTTATTAATCCCATATCATGGCGGAAAGTTTTGACGATCCCATCTTCCATTATGTTGCTAAGATATTTGCAAAACTCTGAACCGCAGGTATCTATGGTGGGGAACGAACGTGGTTACGCCCCAGAATTTGCAAATATCTCAGCAACGTAGTGGTTGCATTTCGCTTACTACCCTGCCGTGAAAATTGTAGTAGGCAGAAAATAAAAGATAAAACACTGTGACCCCTTCTTCGTTCATCAGGACTGACAACGAAACATTATAATCACACAAGCGCTGATAAGATTTTTTCAGACTGCTTCCTTTCTCTTCGAAATCCTGCTTGTTGGACTGGTTGCGCCTCACCCAATGTCCTTGTTATGCGCGAGAGAATAATCTTCGTGAAGAGCTTGTAGAGTACACTTAACAAGCATATCGGACAATAGTTACGAAGATCCCTTCAGTCTCCTTTCTTGGATAGGATGACCGTGCGCGACGTCCTCCACTGGTCTGGGATATTTTCCTTTTGAAAATAGCATGCCATAGGATCTGCTAGAAGTACATGTAAACTGTGGCCTCCAGTTCTAAGGAAATCGGCAGTGATACTATCAGGTCCTGGAGCTGTGCCTCTTTTCATGCTTTCTATCGCAACTCGAACCGTCGACGGAAGAATTCCAGGTGATTTTTTTCCAGTGGGAAAATTAGGACCCGGAACGGGAATTGTGGAACGGAAAAGTTGGTGTAGAACGTTTCCACTATTAATTCCATTTCATGGCGGAACGTTTTGACGATCCCATCTTCCACAAAAAACACAATACAATACAACGCTAGCTGACGTTACGGCAGTATCGCCTTCTTCAGAGCCTGGAAGGGTATACTGTTATACAAACTACTAGGCCAAACGCTTCAACAACGCAAACAGAAAGATCTAATAAAATCGCATATCAATATTGACCCACCAACTATCCTCCTTTAAAGGCGTTCCTCCAAATACAGAAGGCGATACTGCCGAAACGTCAGCTAGCGTTGTATTGTATTGTGTTTTTTATGGAAGTAAATGTATGCTGTTTAAAAACCTCGCGAATGCTGAACAAGAAAACGACACATTCATATTCCAATGCCGAGGTTAAGAGAAAGTCGATCCCATCTTCGTTCATCAGGGCTGACAGCGGAACATTGTAATCATGCAAATCCCGACGGCATTTTTCAGAATGCTTTTTTTCTCTGTTTCTTCCAGTAATTTCTTCCGTTTGTACCTATATAGATCTTCTTGCAAAGCTCTTTTGCAGCTGGCATTTACTACTAGCCATGTTAAACGTGTTGCAGTAGAATCAAGTTTCAGTTTCCTTCTCTTTTCGAGTAACTTCTTAATAGTAATTGAGATGCCATCCGATCTTTTTGATTGAGGAACTGAGGCGGATTCGGCACAGCATTTCAGTTCTTCGACAAGCAGTTCGTCAGTCTTCGTCTGGTTCTTCTTTAATCTGTCAGCAACGTCTGTATAGGATTTCGTTCAGAATGTTCTCGCCATATACAGTTGGACTGTTTCCTCTTGGTCGACATAAATTCTTTTCCAGCTTGCAGCTGAATTGAATCTTCGCATGAGGAGGACGGCGATATGGGCTAGTACAGAATGACGAAAAAACCGATATGTCAAGTAGATACCATCTTCTTCTTCCTGGAATATGGTCGATCTTTGCATGAGTCATGTAGTTGGGAGACTCCCATGTCCAGTGGCGGCTTTCTTTCTCCTGGAAAAACGAGTTTCCATGGAAGAGACGTGCTGCAGACAGGAATCCTGCAAGGCTGTTTCCATTCATATTTCTTCCTTTGACTCAAAGTTTTCGCGCTGTCGTTAGCCGTTTCTATTGTGGAATTGAAGTCTCCGACAACAAATTTATGATATGCTTTATCATTGCGAATGACTTCCTCCGGCTGACTGATAGTAGAACGCATTTAATTCGTACTCATCAGCTGCGTCGGTCGGTGAGTAGCAGTTGACGATAGTGATCTTCCTATGATGCAACAGTTGAAGACGGAGGACGGCTATGCGAGGGGAAAGGATCACGTATACGTCAACGAGATGGACAATGGACGGGTGGACGACAAAGCCTACGCCACCGACATTTCGTCACGGGACCTTTCCTCAGCGGATAACAACGGTTTCGTTGTTTATTTGGCGTGTATTAGTCTTCCTGATTTCGTTTCTTGCAGTCCGACCACATAAAATTATATGCGATTTTCGGCTTCAAGGAGTGGTGAAGATCGGCGTCTGTGGAGAGTGTTTTGGCATTATACACTTTATCATTGCGGAGTAAGAAACAATCTCCATGTCGTGCCGTGGGGGTGATCGTCAGATTCAGTTCCAGTGATGTCCTGCGTAACCTGAGGCTTTGCACCCTCTCACCGGTCGACTCACTGCTTGACGTCATAGACGGGAGCGCCCAGTGTGCGGAATACTGGGGGTGGCCTATTGTTGGTTGAGCAGTTTGCTCCTTTCTGGAGTCCTGCGTCAACTTTCCAAAGGTGTATCCAGGTCTTCACTGCGGTTCGACGAAACCTCAAACTTGGTCAAAGCACGACGGCACAAGATTTCTCATTAATTTGCAGTCAACTGTGTTACGTCGGCAGATTCAGAGTAGTGCCACAGTTTTGTAATTCCTCTATAAATTCGCCAAATAAAGCCGATCAAGAATTTCCTTTATTGTATTTATTCACACAAAATTACGTCGTTAACAGGTGACTTAAGTTCTCAATGAGTGCATAACACATTTAAGAACGCTTTAATGAAAATGTTTTAAAAGCAAAAAAACGACCTTCTCAAGGAACACCATGGTCAGAGTCTGCTCACCAACTCCATCAACGCCAAATACACTTCTAACTTTTCTGCTTTTCCTATTGCATTATCATCAAGCTTGTGACTATCCAGTCTGTGATGAGGTTCAGGAAAATTAGAACTCCAGTGAGCCATTGCGTCGCTGGAGAATGTATAAACAGACACTGTAGTATCTATTTGATTAGAAGTAGTACTAAAGCACTAGATTCATTCACGTAGGATTTTTTTTCGCGAGCGCGTATAGACTAGTGATTAGAACGCAAGCCTTGCAGTATACACTGAATAAGCGGCGAATTCCGAGAAATTGGTTTCATAGTTATATGAGGGATACAAAACTGGCTTGACATATGCCAAATATGCCCTCAACTACCTTTACGATGTCTGATCAAGCCGAACTTGTGGCGCATCCCTAAGAGAGTGGTCATCGTGAAGTGCTTTATTATTCGCCTATTTATTCTACGCTACAACTGGCGTGAATCATCTTCGGAACACAGTTTCCGTGCACAATATGGGACCACTGTTATAGACACGACTTGTAGTTTTGCTTTACCGTAATGGCCATGGAAAGTTGTGTACGACGTATTTACTAATGTACAAGAACCATAACACAACAATAAATGCGGTGTAAGAAGGTAGTAAAATTGTCCATAGATCGTAGTACCTGTCGAAAATGTTCTAGTTTAAAAGCTTAGGAATGTAGACATTATTTGTCAAAAATCACATGTAATTATTTTTACAACTGTACATGAGAAAATCAGCGGAACGTTAAAACGAACAGATCAACTTAGATGGATTTCACTGCTTTCACAATTTTTTGAATGGGTAGAATTTGTCGAAACGGGCTCGGCTTAACGGGATGAGTGGTGAAATCGCTTTTTCCAGTGAAACCGTGCTCGAATAATGACGTTGAGCCGCCTTTTTGTAGAACGGCCGCTTGTTTAGGCACGGAATTCTAAAACATTATTCATTAACGTGTGATACTTAGGTCATATTGGCCTAACTTACTTTGAATGAGGCTGAAGCTTGACCCATAACTTGTGCGATTGCCTCGACATCCTGTTCATCTACAGTGGAGTTCGGCACTAAGGTTGCCTTCACAGGCACTGTTTGCTCCGACAAGATCTCAGTTCCATTTGATCTGACTCTGTTCACGTCGTACGGAATCGGGTCAGTCTGGTCAAACGGAAAGGTTGCATCGAATTTCATGTACTCTAAAAACCACAGATTTCTTAGGAGAGTGAGCTAGAATGGAATGAATAAACGACTTCAGCCCTTTCGAAGGCAAATTTGAGCAAATTGCTTGATCCATGGGGCATTCTAAAAGCATTTAGTTCTTATTCACATATCACAGTAATGGGTACTATATCTGTAGTTACACATCAAAACTTATTATTCTCATAGAAAACATTGTAACCAAAGGCGTCTGAGAAGACAAAATCATCTCGTCAAAGCCATCCACAACGATCTTGCAGTGGATAAAGAAGTCACTAGATTGGGAAAAAAGACATGTGGTTTCATGACGAATCGTCAAATGTTTGCAAGAACCAACTTTTGAGAAGTAGAGAAGAACTTGGAGAGACCTGAAGAGCTCAATGAGATGGAAAACGAACTAGGCAGTTCCTAAGTGAGAAGAAACTCCAATTAACGAAGATGCACCGTTGTGATAGAAAACAAAGCAAACTGGGAGGTGATTCGATTGCATGAGCACATCTTACGTGTGCTCGCCTCCCACGAATATGGGGAGGGTCTCAAAATAGGAATTGTGCAGAAGATTGACATTAGAATGGCCTGCGTTCGAGTGTCTCAGAAAAGATGTGGGTGAGCTTACCGACTAGAACGTACTACTTTTTTTGATCTTCATGACTTTGCCAGCATTCTGCTATACGCCAAGAGGACTAACATCGCAACATACAGGGTGCTTGAACGACTGAAATGTGACCACCAGACCACAACTATAACTATTTAACTCGACTGTGTGGTTCAAACATTAAAAAGTTACTCAACCCTCGAGATCCGAAACTGTAGACATGGCGAAATCATAAGTAGAGGGAATTATTTAAAGAAGAAATTTTTAAAAAATGACCGTATATAAGCGAGAAAGCTTGAATTACGCAAAGGACTTCAAGATGATAAAAACGGGTTTCCAAGGCTGACCACCCATAAGATGGGTGGTCATACTTGTGGACAACGTGAACCAGCCCTATTTCCACTTGGATACCTTTTGCAGACTTTTTTCAAGTGACCCATATTAACATCTACTGTGTGGATCCGTGTACTTCTTGCATATAATTCGTTTTCTCGCATTCATCATACACGTAAATCTTCGAAACTTGTTGGTTCGCAGCTACTTGAAGATTGCCGTCTTCTTTATGAACGTCATTTAATGCTAATCGAATCGAATCTCCACGAATTTTATGAGAGCCGCGCTGTGTAGTCCCCGCTTGCATTGAAGAAAGTGATTTAAGTTCAAACAAGTACAGCGCAAATTTGTCGACCTCATAGTGACAAGAGGCTCTAAAAGCTGGGATGAGGTCAAACCGACACTGTTGTCGTTGCGAAAGGCGTTACTATTAATACGCTATTCGTCCCGAAGTTCGGGTTACAAAATGGTATTCGCATACGTTTTTATGGTCGAGACGGACCACCCCATGGCTGAAGATCGCAAGAGAGAAAAACGAGTGACAAACGCAATGTGGAAGAGTTCTAAATTCACTTTTAGTATTTGCTTTAGTTTTTTAACTCAGACTATCTGGAAAGGAAACTAATTTTTCAGCTTTTCAGGACGACACCATGTTTCTTATTGATTTTTTTAAAGCTTCCGGAATCTAAGCAGAACTCAAAGACAGAAAAAACTAAGATCAGTATTCTACAGTGTTCCTCATTCTTTCTTGCCTTCTTCCCAGTAAATTATGGTTGTTGCACCTTTCCATATACTGATACCTACCATTGAGGTCCAGTCCGCCACTACGGTCGTTGTCAAGGTTATAGAAGAGCTTTGGAAAATTTTCACGTGGCTTCACAAGGAATCGTTTTGCCAGCAATTTTTCCAGCTCATTTTGGCTCAAAGACAAATCGAAGTCTTCATCAAAGTCCTAAATGACTTTCTTGCTTATGGATTTGTCTAACTAGAAAAAATAAATAAACCAATTTCACCTGAAACACCTTGGCAAAGTATTCCGTTCGGCGCGCTTCACTTCGATTTGTGACTCCGCGGTAGTGCTCCTCATATTCTCTTTGTGTTATTATACCGTCACCTGGATTTTTGACCGTGATTTGAGTGGCTCGAATAGAATTTCAAGAAGAACGAAATACAAAGGGTTGATGTAGAAACCACTGACCGTCTTTGTCGAGTGAATCGAATTCCTCCTTTTTTGCATCAACATATGCTAATTCCATGTGCAGAAATTCGCCAAAATTCAGTTTTTTGTCCTTATTTTGATCAACTCGGAGAAATTTTTCCTCTGAAAGAAAATCGTTACGTATAAGGTATGTTCGAAGGCCACAGTTTCTGCACATTCTCTTACACTAGTAACAAACGATTCTTTCATGACTCATTAGGATTTGCGATGGGAAACCAGTTGGGAAGGCGGCGCGGTTTATCATTGTCGAACCCAAGCGTTTTTCAAGAACTTGAGATGTTTGGAATGTCATTAATGATGAATGGCCCAGATTCCGATCTTGTCCATCATGAACAGCCCGCTACAGTCACAAAATCTGCTAGAAAATAGCTTCCAACACATCAGAACGTTCAAGCTCTCTGTGTAGTCGCCTGGATCTTTAAGAAAAAACTAGTGTCATTGTTCAAACGTGCAAATAAACTGCTTTTATAGACGAAGACGGAGATGCCGAAGCGTTAGCACAAGTAAACATTATTATGAACCTCGTGTATGCTCAACAATTTAAAATTATGTTGATTATTTTACTGCTGAGGTTAAATGACGGTCCGTTTGGAAACTGCTTCCAATCTTTGAATTTGAAATAGAAAAGTACAAGTCTAAGTCCTTGGATATCGCAAGAAATGACTTGCTTTTCAGATTATTTGTCACCACAAAGTTGATGAGCGGGCGAGCTGGCATTTACTGCCCTAAACAAGTCTTAATAAGGAGCTGGTAGTGCAGTCTTAGTGAGCCCGTTCATTGCACGGACACCTAACCTAGGAGCTGCTTTGATCTCGCTATGGCCCACTAAACCTTCTATCCTTGTGGTATGGGAAGTTAACGCCTGACTTGGTCGGATCAATCAGGCACTATCTAATCCACATACGAGAGCTCTAACACGGCTATTCCACGATTTCAGGAAGATTGCGACCTGACATTCGACGTCATCCGTGATAAAGATGGAAAATTCTTCAAGAAGCAGCCTAAGCCACGCACAGAGATGTTAGAAGATCTTTGTAGATCGCGGAGGCGAGGAAAGGAATCGAGTACAAGAAGTGCTGAGACCTGGTCGATTTATGTAGTAATAACAACTTTAATGACCAAATGTAAATAAAATGTTCTTTCATTGCATAGGTTAGCCGGTGGTAGCTCAGATGTTTGTTTTGAGAGCTGTTCATGAAATAACTGATTGCCCATGGGATTTTAACCGATTTTGAACCCTTAAACCACAGAGCTCTTTGAATGCTTTTGTACATCAGGAAATTTGGGCATAGTCAGTGTGAATGTTGATTTTCTATCAACGATGACTGATATGTTGGCCAAAGTGATCGCTCTGTCTTCGTTATGGTTAGATTATAACGAAATTGAAAACCGTAGAAAATAAATATTACCGTGATTTTCTTGCATAGCGCTGAATCCGGGCAAGTTGAACTCTTCCTCGAGTGGAACTGGCACTGGTGCACTGAAAGCGCTACAACAGAGCGCTGTGGTGATTAAGGCTAGTTGCATGTTGGATCGGTTTGTGTCCATGGTTGGAACTCCATGCCTTCGACGCGTTTTATACGGTGAAAACATTAGTCAGCCTCTATTTTCGCATGACGTGGGAGGAGCGAAGAGCGAGTCGTTCAGGTGATGTGATGGGTGCGATTTTCGGCGACATGAAAACTCTGTACTTTTCCACCTGAGCATTCCAAGTGATTTCTTGAGTCAACTTTATTAGCAGCATTGCGCTGTAGTAACAACAGTATCTGTAGCGTAAGAATGTATTGTGATTTAAGGCATCACCAGGACAAGAGTGGCAGCTTTCGTTTGAGCACTTTCGAGCTTGTTGGTTGCCGTTTTTCTAGCAGTTTGAAGTTTTCTTGGCGGAAAACTTCAAACTGTTAGAGAACATAGTCGGAGAAAAACCAAGCATTCCCATAACACCAACGAAAACAGCAACCTAGATTTCATTCCCATCAAATAGCTTCTCTTGAGTCCTCATCTCTTTTTGTTCAGTTCCATACTTTTTCACCGTTTCCATGGTTGCATCTTTATCGAAGGCTAAAAGGGCGGCGAAAAGCCATCCAATGTACCACTTCATCCAACAATTTGTCATCCATCGCGTAAACGGACCATTAATACTAGCATTATTACTATTACCTTGCATTTGCAGCGTTTGGTGTAGTAGTCAAACAGGAATAAATCAGTGTTCATCTGTGACCCGTGACAAAATCGTTAAATTTTATTTTCTCTAGCTTTTTTCTGACATACGTCTTCGCTCACACAGTTTCTAATCGTATCTGTACACGACGTCGTACTAAATTATGGGAGAATAGTTCGTCGCGAAATGGGTGGAGTGGTGGAATATCGGAGATTCGTCGAATTCCTTGGTGTTTGGCGCTCATCGGTACCGCCTAATTCGTCTGCGTCGAGTTTCCACAAGTCGCGCACAGACGGATTCTTCAGCGAATGACATCGGTTAGAACGATATTCATCATGAAGGATTGGGTCACACGATGACCCTGAAGGAAAGCGGCGGCTACCAGACGAAATGCACCAGTTGCGGCGTATTGCCTGCTCGGCCCGCCACGACTCATAGTGCATCCGTGATCCTCATTCGAGTAATACGTGATGTTCACCACCGCCGTAGCCAAAACAAGAAAGCCAAGAACAATGCCTGACTTTTACAAAAAAGCTGTCGACGTTGATTTATCCCTAATGGATGCGCCATGCATTCGACCTCTTTTAGCAACGCTGAGGGTGAATAAATGCATATCTGACCTTTACAATGACTAGCGGTGGGCTGTCGACGTATCGAGCCAGTGCTGCTACCCTCTCAGACAAGTTGGGTACCAATTTGCGAAACCCGGATGGATGGAAGGCCAGGTGGCCCTAGGGCGCCGGCATCAATCCCATGTGCATTCCAGAGTGCCTTTGACCACTGCACTGCACTTGCCCCTGTCTGACCTTACTCCGAGATAAACTGAAGATTCTTACGTCTCAACAAGTGCTCCCTAGAAGATATTATGATATCAATAGATATTTGACAGTGGTAGTTTCAAGATGAAGGATATCCAATATTAATGCATGAAAACTCTCTCTTGTAAAGTTTTTGAAAGTTTTGAAAGAAGATTGCAGACAAAACGCTTTATTTCTTGTTTAGTCGACGAAAAATTGGGAGCATTTCAGGTAAACGGAAGCAAAATTTAATTCAAAACAGAAAGAAGGAAATTCGCCTTCCTAGTTTCAACTCAATCCGATTCTGAATAGTGAAGCTTTCTCTTTGACGTTTAAGTTGAAATTTCTTATGAGGCTTTGCATTTTTAACCCTTTAAGGGCTAGTAATTTTCCGCTATTTTCACTAATCTTAGTGAGTTATGGGAGACCGGTGTAAAACCGAACAACAAAATCACGAGTTTCGATGTTCTGTAATGAATAAATGATTGCAAAGAAGTGCTATTCTCAAACCGTTGTATATAATTGACATCAGCCTGATTTGACGACTGCGACAGATCGGAAGAAAAACAAAACAGCGTCACTTTTTCAAGCCAAACAAGTTCGATGAAACATTTGTTTGTTACACGAAACTGGTAACGGTCGCAGTTCTGTCACACATCGTCCACAACAGGTGTCGGTCGCACCACCATCGGAACGTAGTGTACGCCGCCTGTCATAGCCAGAACTGTGTTCTCCGAGCTCTGCGTATCCTCGATGACGTTGTGCTCAGCTTCACTTCTTGCGATGAGATGAAGGTTTCTAGGCAGTAGCCGTTTTGATGTGACGCACTGCACTTGTGCTTGTCGATGAAGTTGCAAAGAAGGAGTAGGTGAAAATAGAACAACTGTGATGAAGCAGAGGTGAATTCTAACGAGTATTTCCTTACAATTGTTAGCCCAGGTGGAAAAATGGGTGAGCTGTCAGCACTAACAATGAGCCTAAGAATGATAACATAAGTAATAGAAAGGTACTTGCTTGAAATACCACTATGTTCTCTTAGACGATATCTCACTTATCAATCACTTCGTTGCTTTTTTTGAGTTTGACGCGCGACACTCAACCAGAAAGCCAAAAAAAGAGAAGAGGAAAATTCTGTGAAGTCGAAAAACCAGGACTTCGTTTAGGTGAAATGGAAAGCTTACAACTTCTTGACGAATTTCTATCTATTTCACCGATCTCCAAGCTAATAAATAGAAATCACTTTAAGTCAAGATATCTTTGCTTAAATTGAGAGGCGTAAATATTTACGCATACGTATGCATTGATATCAATGCGCGCCGACTTGAATGTCTAAAGGCAGTCTTGATATAAGTTGCAGTTTCGTGATAATGTCCTTAAATACCGTTCATCTAGATTTCCACTGCAGGTGCTCTATAGCTTCCCAACAAATCATGTTATTAAATAGAGCTGATGAAGAATTTATACGGAATTCACGAATGGGCATATCGGTGCTGAAAACTAAACAAAGCACGAAATTTAAACAAGATGTCAATAAGGGAAGAAGGTCAGTTGAAACGATGGGATACTATATAGAAACAATAATAAGAGATACAATTTTAAGAAAAGGAAAAACTAAGCAGAAGAAAGGACTTTTTATCCCATCGGTTCTCTTCACTTCTCTCACTACCCAATTACACATAGAGCCGGTTTATCAGTTTATAGTCAAACGACAGGAATAAGCGGAGGAGGGATATCGAAATACTAATCAGATATTACAGATTTCGTATGCTAATATCGGCCTTTGACAGCAGTGACTCTTCCGTTATGATATCAAATTCTTTTCAACCATGGAACTGGAGTAGAGTCGATAGCCACTACAAATGGTCCTTTATCCCAAACAACACTTTTTTCTACACATCTTCAGAGCTTGGCTAGCTCCAAGATTAGTTAGAAATTGCTTGGAACTCAAAGTGCCACGTTGGCGCATCAGCTCAAGCGATTCATCAAACAGGTGTTGTTTTGCTACTATCATAAAAAGGAGCCACATGGAAATCTTAAGATTCCATAAGTTCTTGTGGTGTCTACCGATCCATCACTATTCAAGGTTAGACATATCGTCACCCTATTGATGGACGAAAGCATGGAATAACATGTTTTTTAAACACAATCCTTACACAACACATCCCCTCTCATTTTACAAAAACCCAGATCTTCTTGGATCGTTTAGGCAAGGCGTTCCCCAATATCGCGAACGTAGTGGAGTCCTCCGATGTTAATGCTCTCTATAAAAACGTGTCGAATGACTCCGTTATGCGAGCCATTCTCCAACTCCTTATGAAACATGAAAGAGTAATAAAAATGTATAGCCCCTTGATTAAGCATCTTACGACTACATGACTAATCTGCTCAATTTTTGGATGGTTCAAGAAGTATTTCGCGCCAGCGAGAGAGTAGGCAATGGGACAGCGTCTGCACGAAGCCATGCCATTGCTTTTACACTGAAGGTGGAAGCACTAGGAATGGATCACCTACCATTACTCTACTATAGATATATAGATGACTAAATAGACAGTTTTGTCAATTGCTCCACACCAGAGGAAATGGATGTTTTGAGTTGTTCAATACACACCCAGAGCACATAAATTTCACCCAGAAGAAGTCAAAGAAAGACTGGCATTTGTTTTGAACGCTCTCAGTAGCCTATTCAAAAACTGCCATATCACCAAATGGTACCCAGGGCCACGTAACAAAAACTTACGGGTCCATTACCTCTCTTATCATCCTTTACACAAAAAAGAGTGCTTGAAAGAAACATGATTCCAAGAGTCATCAGTGTGGCAAACAAAGAGAGCGGAAAGAGAAATCCCTGTACTTTCCGTGAAAAACAATCTTTCCACTGGTTTCCAAACAAGAGCTACTCACGATAGCTTTAGAGGAAGAACCGAAGCCCCAAACGATATGTTTATCGAGAATAAGATTCCGCTTACTCTCCCCTTCATTTCTAACGAATGATTAAAAGAGGCCGGTTTAGAAAATTTGGTAACATTGATTGAAACACCCTCATATATTCTTAGATCTCAGCTAGTTCGAACCACCAGTATGACCGTCTGTGTGCAACGCAAAATTGCATAGTATGCCCTAACAGTAGAGACATAATAGGCATTAGTGTGGCTACAGATCTCTTGTAAGGCACTCGTTGAGGAATACATTGGCGAAACGCGCCGAAACACTGCTGTGGGTCCTTATGAAACAACACCTAGTTGGTAAACTTAGAGCAAATACTCCACTAGACACGCAACAGATACAAAAGCAGTTTTTTGTTGAAGTTATGGAGGTATTTGGCTGACTAGATTACAATTGAGTTTTCCAGGATCTGAAGTAAGCGAAACCCTCTGGAACGTCAGCTACTATTAATAAACAATACAATAAGACGATGATTTGGTGTGATTTCTAATGAACAACACAAAGTCTTTACATTAAGGTTTATTCATTACAGTCCAGAGCCGGGAAAAGTGAAATTGACAGTCCACTCATTCAAACGCTATCATAACCTCAGCAGATAAAACTTATTACAGTACTGTTTGTTTGCGTATTAAACAGGTTCACTTAAA